AATTTAGAACAACGTCAAAATGCGACAAAAGGCTTTACTATTCAAATTGAAAATTAATAAAGTTTCAACGAGAAATTTTTTCTTATATTGAGAAATTAGATGTTTGATATAAATCATTCCAAAATTCATGAAGCAAATAAAATGGTTATTAACGGTATGTCTTAAATGGTTATTAACGGTATGTGTGGGAGCTAAAGGTATCTTTTTATGCGATGATTTAAGGTGAACGGAAGGAAGATTCGGTTGGCTGATAGATTAACGGTTGATAAATCAATCCGAAAGATGAAAAGAACAGGTTTTGAATCTTCAAGAAACAGTTGGCAATTTGACAATTTCAGTGATGACGGTTATCTGCAAGTTAGTTGTTCGCATATTTCACTTTACTTTACATTACAAGTGACCTTATACAGGCTTAATGAAAGCTCAGCTGTCAACTTCATTTGTACTTTTCTGTAAAATTTCACTCCAATTTATTGCAAAATTTCTGACACATTTTCTTTCACACTTAGTCAATATAAAAGATTTTGGAGTCGTATTGCTTTTCATAAAACGCAAGCTATAATTAAGCTATCAGTTTGTTTAATTATTCACTAAAATATAATTATAATATCAATTTCCGCACGGCGGAATGATAATTACAATATCAGTTCTTTATAGTTTTCACTGAATCCAACTTTTTATTCTTAATATAAATAATCTTTTGTTCTTGCCATTGATTAGTTGCTTTTTTTCTTTTTCTTCCGGTGTGCCGCAGATTTTCCACAGAAGCCAAATCAGCAATCTCATCAAAATCAGTTTCGCTACTTAATGTTTCTGATTGGGAGCGTCCATTACGATCTCGATTTCAAGCAAGACTATACTGCAATGAATTGTTGTTTCTCATATTCAGAAAGTTGAACATAAGCTTCTGCTCAAATTAGAGAAGTCAAAATTGAGCATTTCAAAGTTTTTCAGAGTTTCTTGCAAGATAAATCAACTGCAAATAACCGGTACTAATGATATATCACTTATGTTATTTGAAGATTTCAAACCTGCTCTTCCATCCATTCTCCTGGATTGACCCATCAACCGTTGATCTCCTATCAATAAACAGAATCTTCTTTCCGTTCACTTTAAATCATCGCATAGAATGATCCGTTCAACATTTACAGATACCGTCAATAACCTTTTAATACTGTGCATTCGATGCAAATATTTCACAAAGAATTCTAGAAATATTTCTTTGTTTTATAAATTCCGGAATGATTCATCCTAAGTATTCTATTTTCTGATATAAATAGAAAATTTCTTGTCAAAATATGTTTCATTTAATTTTTTTAAATCTTAATTTTTCCCACATTTCTGACCGCATTTCAGCTTTTCAACTTTTTTTTTTTAATTATGACCCTACCAATTACGTTTTGCTCATAATGACCTTCTGAAAGAACTAAATGGCTTCCTTGACTATTTTCCCGTCCTTTACAGAATTTTGACTTAAATGAGACTTAGTCTAAAGAGGTCTAAAGACTTAAATGAAACTTAAATGTCATTGAGCATACGACCATTTTCAGATTGTTGGTATCAATGAATATTTACAGTATTATCCTGTCGCTTATCTGCGCTGTTTTCGTGATCCAAGTAAGTTCCTTTAATGAGTTCTTCTCAAGTTAGGAATGAAAAATTTTATTTTCAGGCTTGTCCATCGCAGATGGGACCTAGAGGACCAGATGGAAGGGATGGAAATAAAGGTATGGATGGACCGCCAGGAGCTGCAGGACCTCGAGGAAAGACGGGACCAGTTGGTAAGCAAGGACAAGAAGGACCGAAAGGTAGACCTGGGCCGAGAGGACCGATGGGGTTACAGGGTGAACAAGGACCGAGAGGAATGAAGGGACCAGTAGGAGCAACAGGACCAGCAGGATAGAAGCGACAGGCAATAAAATTTATTTGAGCCTTCTAGTGATATCGGTTCTTTGTGCTATTTTTGTTTGCATCAAACTATCATAGATGTGCCTTTCCCATTATTGAACTAATAAATACAAGAGAGTTTAAGGCTAAATTTAAATTTAATTTTTGTGATTTATAATTTTACAAGAACAGCTACTTTGAGGCCGACTGTAAATTAATAATTTGGGACTAATTTCAAATGTCATCTTTTATTTCGATAATTCCGAAACATTTTTTGTTGAAATTAAATTTCTGCAGGGCCGTAATTCAGTAATTATCTGAATTGTCATGCATAGTTACAATTATTTGAAGCATTTTTTAGTTTGAAGAGAAATTTAATCGAGTCACTATTGCTTTAATAAAAAATATCCGGTAAATAAATCGTTAGAGATTGTTATAATTTAAAGCAAAAAATGATAAACAGGAACTACGGTAATAAGAGAATGACTGATCTTAAATGGTTATTGATGGTTTCTATGAAAGCTAAATGGATCTTTTTAAACAATAATTTAAAATGAACCGAAAGAAGATTCGATTGGCAGATAGAGAGCAGCAATTGAATGAGAATGCGAGGGAGGATGTATGAAAAAAGAGGTCTTGAACCTTCGAGAAACAAAAGTGATTTAGGTATTTGACTAATGCCGGTTACTTATTTATTCTTCAAGAATTTCTGAAGTTCTTTAAATTGTCCAATTTCATCTAATTTCTTTTCACCAATTTCAAATAATGGTCCACTGCCTGCATATGCAAAACAATATATTGTGGCGTGAAAGATAGTAATAGTAAAAAACAATTTTCAACAGTTTTCACTTCCGTCTCCAGAATAATTCAGCTGGCGATTCCGAGATATCTTTCGTTTTCTAACAATTTCAATTGCCTTCAAATTATTTTAAAATCTATTAAGAGTTGATGTTTGTAAATAAAGTTGTTCAGACTGTTGGATGGATTGTGAATTTGGCCTTTGATACCTTTTGATATTGGTCAAACTCCTCTAAATAAAATTTTACTTCTAATTCATGGGTTAATCCACAAGACATACATCTCTTGCTAATAAAATAACCAATGAACTCATCATGCTTGTTTCATAACTTTGTTGATTATATCACCTTTTGAAACAAATCACTCTGAAGACAACCTAGTTTACACTCTTATCATCGCTCATGTTTTTTTTCAACAGTTATTTAATTTTACGTATATGTAAAGCAGTTATATATGCAAAATGAAGTTTTCACGATGATCATATATTTGGATTTCATTTAACGGAGTTTTTTAATCCACAATAATACGATTTTGCAGCTGAATCTTTCAACAGGCGCAATATTACTTTTCCATGTACGTGCATAAACTCCGATAACCATAGATGAAATTTTGTGCTGTAATTAATTCTAAACTTCAGTACATTGCTTTACATCGGGGAAGTCAAATGTGAACTTTAGCTGAGTCTGCCAAGACTAAAGAAGGTCAAGGTTGAGTGATTCAAGTAATTTCAGAAATTAAAAAAGGAGAAAACTTATCCATAAACAATTGATGTAATCAGTCTCCCAAAAAAAAAATTTTGTTTTTCTTTTTTTATTGCTCCATCCATCGATCTGAATCCTCTATCAACTGTTGATCTTTTATCAATCAACCGAATATTCTTTGATTCACTTTTATTCTTTAAATAAAAGGATTTGTTTAGCATTCACAAATATTGTCTATTACCGCTTGGTGTTGCAATTTGTTGCATTCGGTATGACCATTCAACAAAGAGCTCTTGAAATGCTCTTTGTTTTATGAATTCCGGAAAGATTCATATCAGACGTCCAACTTCCCAATATAAATTTAGAAAATTTCTCTGCGGAATTCGCTTCATTATATTTCCATTTTTTAAATGAAATATTAAACTCTGATCTATTAGTTATGATTTGCTCATATATACGGAAAAAATCTCATCCCACAAAAGTATTTTTGTGAAACGATCTTCTAAAATATCTGCTGGCATTTTTCCATTCATTTTTTACAAATTTTGAAATGATCGAGAATTTGAGGGTTTGAAAAATTTTTAGCCATTCTGCATATATAATCAATTTCAGGTTATCAGTACCAATGCATCTTTTCAGTACTTTCCTATTGGCTATTGGCCCAGTTATCGTAGTCGAAGTAAGTTTCCTAATATATTGTTTCGTGATGAAAAAGAGCATATTTTAAGGCAGCATCCAAGTAGGCGTGAATTTTATTTTCAGACCTGCACTCCATTAGGTGCACAATCAGGATTGCGAGGACCACCAGGCCCGCCAGGTAGGGATGGACGGAAAGGAAGAGAAGGCGAACTAGGAGTTCGAGGTGGAGAAGGTCCACAAGGAGAACCAGGATTGCCGGGACCGCCTGGAAGGCAAGGTGAACCGGGTGACAAAGGAATTCCAGGACCACAAGGACTTCGAGGCAATGAAGGTGATCAAGGTCCGGAAGGAATGATGGGAGGATAAAAGTAACAGGCAATGGAATTTGTCTGAGATATCGAAGCAGTCCCTCTCAATGGTATCAATTCTTTTATTTTGGTTATTTTTGTTTGCACCAACTTATCGTTGATGTGTCCTTAACATTAT